GCTAAAAGGGGAAGTGCCAGGGCAAATGACACTCCTTGGTTTAGTGCACTTGTGGACAGGAGCAAAGGCCAGAGAGAAAAACCAGGCAATGGTAGAGTGTATATCATAGGACATTGACGAGTTAGGAGGAGAGTGCGAGACGTTTATACTAGGAGATATGAATGCGCACATAGAAGATATCGATGGGTATACCGACCCAACAGGCAAAATGATCATGGATATGTGTGAAAGACATCATTTGATCATTTGAAACAGTAGCGAGAAGTGTGAAGGGCAAATAAAATGTGAGGTAGGAAGGCTGCAGTCGACGACAGACTACGCACTGATGTCACCCAGGAAGTATAATAAGCTCAGGGGAATGCACATAGATGAAGGTGGCTCCAGAAGTCTGGATAGTGATCGCAAACGTATCAAGCCAAGTTTTGGAAGAGCAGTGAAAGTGGCAAGGAGACAAGATGAGCAACTGGAGGAAACGTTTTTTTCAGAAAGGCAAATAGAAATACCTACTAAACAAATTGAGAAAGTATTTACTGAGGATAATAAAACAGTGAGGACATAAATGAATCTAATTAGACTGTATAGCTAGAGCTTGCTAAGGCATGTGACAAGTCACCCCGGAAAAGAAGACAGAAACCGAAGAGTTGGTGGGATGAGGAAGTTAAGAGAGACGTAGCAAAACGTCAGGAAGCCTCTAGGGAACACAGACATGCTAAGCAGCGGAGTAAACCGACAGACGATGTTGAAAGAAAATGGGAAATAGGTCTAAGCTGTAGGAAGGATGCATCACTTCTGATCAAGAAAAAGATTTGAAGAAAGGGAGCTCAGTGGCTAGCAGAAGTACATAAAAAAGATAGAAAGGCAGCTACGAAATTTTTGAACCATTTAAACTCCCTAAGAAATGAGATGAGCCTGGAGCAGAGCTTTATAACTATAGCTCAGGGTGCTTGGCTAGAAGGGGACGAATCTATTGAATATATAAGAACAAGGTTGACAGAAGTTTTTCGACAAAGTGCTTTATGCACCACAATAGCTAAGAATGAACCAAGTGGGGCAATGGCTCCATTTTCACAACGAGAGTGGGAAAGGGCTGAAAAGAGGGTTCCTAGTAGTAGATCAACAGGGCCAGATGGCGTCTCAATTATGCTGATATAGACATTATGTCAGAAGTCTGAGCAGGCTATGAGAGGGGCAGTAAGCGAAATAATAATCGATGGTGAAGTCCCCGATGAATCGAAACTTAGCAGGATGAGCACGATCTATAAAGGAAAGGGGGACAAAGCTGACATAAACAACTACCGTCCTATGACAGTGACATCAGTGGTCTACAGGCTGGCGATGCATATTATAAAGGAAAGACTGCAGGCATGGATAGAGGATGAGGGGTTGCTGAGAGAACTGCAGAATGGGTTTCGGAAACACAGGAGGTTGGAAGACAGTCTGTTCTCACTGACGCAGTGCATCGAAATAGCAGAAAAGGAACACAGGCCCCTGTGGCTAGCATGTTTGGATATCAAGGAAGCATAGGATAGCGTGGTTCAAGAGGACGTGTGGACACACTGGACACGCTAGGTGTGGAAGATGGAGTCACTAATCATATAAAGAATATCTCTAAAGGTAACAAGGCAGTTATAAAGTAGGAAAAGCAGGTATACAAGCCTACAGAAGTAGAACGGGACTTAGGCAGGGGTGTCTTCTGTCACCTTTTTTATTTATGATGTACCTACAAGAATTAGAGGCCAAATTAGAGGGAAGTGGACTGGGCTTCAACATCTCTTTCGTCAAACAAGAAAAACTCATTTAACAGGCACTACGAGCATTGATGTACGCAGATGATGTAGTGCTAATGGCCGACAACAAGAAATATTTGCAGAGATTGACGGACATCTGCCGTAATGAGGGAGATAGGTTAGATTTCAGATTTAGTAAGAAAAAATCAGCAGTCGTGATTTTTAATGCAAATGAAGGTGTTGAGCTTAGAATACATGAGGTCACGCTAGAGATAACAGATAAATACCAATATCTGGGTGTATGGATAAGCATTGGGGCCGAGTACCTAAGGGAACACAAAAGATACGTGACGACTAAAAGTAACAGGAATGCAGCGGTAATGAAAAACAGGGAACTGTGGAATTACAATAGGTATGACGTTGTGAGAGGAATATGGAAAGGGGTCATGGTGCCTGGTCTGACGTTCGACAATGCGGTCTTGTGCATGCGATCTGAAGTTCAAGCAAGATTAGAAATTAAGCAACGTGGAATAGGTAGGCTTTCCTTAGGAGCTCACGGGAATACACCAAATCAGGGAGTACAAGGGGATATGGTATGGACATCATTTGAGGGCAGGGAAGCTAGCAGCATGGTAAAATTTGATAAGTGATTGAGAGAAATTGGAGAAGAGCGTTGGGCTAGGAAGGTATTCAGCTACTTGTACATGAAGAATGTCGATACAAACTGGAGGAAGGGAACCAGAAAATTGACTGGTAAATACTTGGAAAACAGCAGGGGGCCAAACCAAAAAGAACTATCGTTTAAGAAGAAAGTGAAGGAAACGGAGACTGACATGTGGAAAATGGGCATGATTAAGAAGTCCGCACTAGAGATCTATCAAACTTTTAAGCAGGAAATTGCCAAGGAAAGGATCTATGATAATACTCGGGGTAGTTCTCTACTGTTTGAGGCCAGGACGGGAGTATTGCGAACCAAGACATATCGGGCCAAATACGAAGGTGTATACACGGTATCCATTGCGTGTAGAGAGGAAGAGGAAACTGCCGAACACTTGATAATATTCTGTAAAGGGCTTCACCCTATCGTTCAGGATGATGGCGCAGAGTTTTTCAAAGCACTGGGGTTTAGGGACAGGGAGGGCGAAATAGACTTTAAGCGGGTAAAATTACCTGGAGGAGGTTATCTGATTGGTGGCTAACATCCAGGCATGAGTGAAAACGAAACCCTTCACTGCAAAGTACGAGTCCTCAATCTCACTTTTTAAAAGAAAAAAATAAATCTAGTTTTTGCTCACTAAGTATTACGGCTTTGTGGCGTTAGCCACGGCCCGATCTAAAGGGTACAGCAATATCAATCCATCTCCATCCATCGCAAGTTTCAGATGGCCCACGCGCCCTCCTTTTTACGAGTATGTCTACTTCGGTCTCGTCACTTCGTAGACCCGACAGCATATGACAGCGACAATGAGCGTTACGCACGGGTACCGGTATCCTCCCAAACTCGCTCACCCACCAGCTCCCAACTTCGTTGAAGAACGCGATAACTACACGTCTGGCATTCATGAGCGTTAGGCATTTGACCAGTGGCCAGTATAACATAAAGGGTATGGTGGTTATCGTGCCGATCGACGTAATCAACACTGTGCAGTGCCAGCCGCGGAACGTGCCCAATAACACTGCCTTGCACGTACACATCGTGCACCGTCTTGTTAACCAGCCTTCCTACAAAATCATCTCGTCAACAAACGCCCCGTGCACCTCGAAGCAAGCTTTTCTAACATAATTCCCTTTGTGAATGGGGCGCTGATATTTCTGTCTTGATTCATGCATGCTATTGTGAATGAATGCCGAGCAAAATGCAACCCCACTATTCGTATGAAGGCAGTAGCTTACGTATGCTTCGATCCTTCGCACTCCTGAATGGTAATAACGAGAAACGTGTAGAAACAAGCAGGAGGTAAATACAAGAACAATTCACACATATCCACCCAGTGAATCATGACTAGTTGAAGATGTTCTGGGTGAGCAACCGTACTGGCTCCTCACCTACCGTACGTTACCCGACGGTTGCCCCATATGAAGTATATTGAGTGAAATTAAGTGACATGAAGAGACTTAGAGCACTGACGGCAAAGCTTGTTTCTAAGGTGCATAATGTCCACATCGAGGTCGCCGACTGGTGTAAAGGGCTTGGTTTTGTATGCGTTTCATGTTGTTTTGTTACTATTATCATAATTTTTCATCTATTGTTATTCTCTTTATTCACGAACACACATACGTTTTGAACACACAACGGTTTTCTATATACACTGAAAGCGGACAGTGATAGTCGAGGACAAAGGTAGGGCTCAAGGTCCACAATGTGTATGCTGAAGTCGCCGACTGAGCTAATGCGTTCTTGTAGGTGTTTCTCATTGTTCCATCACAATTAATATATATATTACGCTTTTTATAATCCTTTATGAGCATTGATTCATCGGTGTCAAAATGTCTGTGTTTTAAAGAGTTCTGGTCTTTTATTTTGTTCTTGTTAACTTTTCTTTACCCTTTTCAAGGTACTGTGCCGAAGCAACAGAAAGCATCGGCCCTAAGGTCCTTCACTCCTAAAAATTTTGCCCATCAACTGTTTTATAACGAGATTTTTTAAGGTACAAGAGGTGATTTTATGGCGTTAAAGCATTTTTAGTTTCTGGAAGTTGGAGTAAGGCAGGAAGAAGACTCGGTTATCACTTCTGCTAAGAACCATCTCAGCAGAGGCATCGAAATAAAAAAAAACTGAATGCAGTTTCACTGCTCACGAAATGGTAGCATGGGTGAACGTAAATCTGCCCACATTTTGCCTACTAGCAATAGCAATGTCTGAGATGCTGGATATCCTTCTTCTCCTCCTAAACTAACTCGAGAGTTTCAAATTATTTGCTCGCTTTTTAGAGTGGTAATAGCAGTGACATCAGCGGCATAACCACTGTCTGGAATAATGTTTTTCTATTTCCCCCGGTGTGGGGGCTATGCGGACTTCAATTATGTCTTGCGGTGCCTGTTTTTCATTCACCGAAGATGTAACGAAAATTATGTTTAATATTTGGAGTCAAACATCTGAAATATTTGCCACCAGGAGGACCCACGCGAGGGCCATCCTGTATAAACAGAGGGTTTTCAAGCGGGCCTAGCCACGTGAGGTTGAGTTTCCTTTCGTATAGTGTGGGCTGAACTAAGTTGTTTCCTCTCTCACACTTGTCTATAACGACAGGTGAGCTAGCGTGGTGCACTTACCTTGTGCAGTTCCAAACTCTCCATCTTTGTGCGCAATCATATGTGCAGCAGAAGGTGAGAAACCCACAGGAAAAGATATCCTGTGGCCTAACACTGTAGTGCCCGTTTGAATGCTGGAAACATCCACAAGACTCCTTGGTTTGAAGCGCAACCTGAGTGAGAAGAATAACACTTGTTAAGTGGTTGGCCTTTGACTAATTCTGTTTTGTTTTGACCGTGCCAAATAAAGCACAGTAGAATAATTCTGAACAATCGTTTGCACCTGAATATTTTGCAAGATCAGTGGTCGGGCATAGAAATATGTGTTTTCTTTCTAGCCACGCCACTGCGAGTAATTGATGTTTGTTTCAACCTTGTAGGCTTCACGCAATAAATTGGATGATGTAGCAAAAGCCCACGCTCGGATATATTGTCTCGGGGTGGTAACGAGAACGGAGAGAGAAGACTGTAGGTGAAAGATGAAAATCTTTATTTGGCCGAACTTCTGACTGGTAAACTGAACGTCAGATTGGGGTGATACACACTGACAAGCGGCCAAGCGCGTCGTCATTTATACGCGAGCTGTCGAAAACTTCAGCCTTATCTCTTGCTGTTACAAAAGCTCTTGAATAATATCGAGTGTTGGCGCCTTGCGAGCCGTCTTAACAAAAAGATCTCCAAGAATCACGAACGTTCTCTAACCATGAGGCGCAGTTCGCGCTGAGCATTCCTGACAGGCTTTGTGGGCGAAAACCGAATGAAACAAAAGTGAAAATAAAGAAGGCACGTGGCAATAGTAAACTACTACTCAACTGATCGGTTCAAGAGTTGCTATCTGAACTCTTCATTCATCATACGAATATTATTTGCCTTATCTATACAGCACCCGAACTGATGGATTTGTGCAATGAATGTGAATCACTTTCTGAAAAAGCACCTTGAGAATGCTGCTGTGTTTTCCTTCAGGGTCTGCTCTCGTTCTGCCCCACTGGCGATGTAGCTCCTGGTGGCAGTATCCATCCGGGCCTCGCCCAAGCGTTGAATGTCGTCTATGGTAACCACTGTTTCATCTTGCTCCTCTTGCCGGGGCTTTGCATTGACATATTTGAAGCTTGCTGCAATAATTGAAATCGTTCAGCGTTTTTATTGTGCATTTTATTGCGTTTCTACCAGAGAATTCCTCGCGAATTCATCTAGAGGGAAATCTGGCGCTAGTCAGCTGCTGGATGAAAGGGAATGCCAGGATATGCGAGCTTCGAACTTGACTCAGATTTGTATTCCTCGAAGACGGGTGTGGCGTAACGTTGCAATGGTCGACTTCTTACTAAAAGAACACGTAATAAGCTTTGCATGTTTACCATTGCGCAGAAGCATGTTTTATGTAACACTCAAAACGTGTGGGTTGATGTACGATTTCACGAAGCGTAAAAAGTAATCAACGGCCGCTAAACTTGACAGGCAGACAACAATGCCAGCGTTCCGTCTGCCAATGTATGTCGTCTGTGTTTTTTTCGTCATTTGTTTGTGCTGTCAACGTGAATGGACCTTTAGAATAAAACGCGTGGACGAGATCTCCTTATAAAAGTTTTGTTTTAGAGAAGCTTTATTTGCGCAGTCGTATCTGCTTTTGAGCCGAAGCGTCGCTTAACACCAGCCAACACAAGCCTCACAGACTCATATACCTTCGTTCCCCGTGCTTTGATGAGGCCACATAACTAATTCGCATAGACGTTGGCGCCATATTTTCCTCTAGGTAATTTTGTGAGAACATCTTCGGGCTTTTTACCATAGTTTTAACATTTTTGTGCTTGGTCAACTTCAGAATGTATTCAATCTCCTTATCGTATGGCCATACATACCTTGTCCACACGGGAAGTACTTCGATGCTAGGTTGAATGATTATTTGAACTTCAGACAAGTGACGGTGTTGAAGCGTATGGCAATGAATGTAATATAATAGTCAGTGCTGATCAAAGCGTGATAAAAGATCTGTTTAGGTATGCGCAACGATTGAGCGTCAATAGAGAATCTAGAAGCACACCATGCACAGATGAAGCAAGACTGTGCCTTTTACGCCCCTTCATGATACAGTCGTGGCTTTCATAGAGACGACTTAACACGTGATGCAGTTTTAAGAAGCTATCGAAAAATTCTTACCTCATTTTACGGCTTCTCGAAATCAATTCACGTTCAACAGTTAACATCTCGCGTTCAATTTATAGTACTACATGTCATGTATCAGCTGAGCACTTTTACGCCTTTGGCTCTAAGATTATACACTTAGCACTATTATAACATGAAATATCATGTGGAATGTACAAATGGTATCGCAATGGAAGACCATGTTTCAGCCAGTCATACAGCTACAGCGAAAAGGCTGTGAACGTAATTTTGGCGGGAACGTGTCACGCGCCTAGGTTTGCTTGGTCTTAGCCGAAACAAGCCGCATTATTTCATTGATGTGGTTTTTTCATCAGTCCTCTTCACCATCACTACATTTCCTCCCCTTATTACTGCACATTGTAATGCTATGTTGTTCAGTTGAGTTGAAAAACTATATTAGCCCAACGGTTGTGCCCGGGGCTAGGCTGCCAGAGATGCGCCGTTCGAGAAACATCTTTCAAGGTCTTCGGTGATGGCCTTGACCAGCTGGACGGCCCACTCCTCGGTAGGATCTGCTTGGCACATATCTGCTTTCTTAGGCTCACGCCCGTCGAGTATTCTGTCATTTCTGCCCAGTATAACAGATACTATAAGGCTCCGCTGTAAGAAATCTGGGCAGCCAGAAATGTCAACTGAGATTTAGGTGATGTGTCTGATGCGAGTTCCTCAGCTGCTCGCTGGAAATTTTTTGTGATACAAACTCACGTCTGGCAAAACACGTCTGGAGAAAAATGTTGTTGTAGCTTAATACGTGCACGCTGCAGCATGATTTTGTTAATATGCCGCCGTACTACTGAGCAGTAAACAGTTTTACCCGCATGCCTAATTGGACGCATCTCATCAATTCAGTTCACGTCCAAGGAGTGCTACCACGGAAGCTCCTTGAATGATTTGAACTTTCGGTTGTCGACACCTTATAATTGAGCGTTTATATGTGCACTCAAGTTATTCAGTAAACTAGCTGCGAAATGTTCACATAATCTCTTGGGTAATGATATATTATTTCTATACACAATATATTTAATTCTCTACGTTGACCTTAACCATTAGGAAGTTATTTCTGACGTTCATTACTATATTTTGAACTACAACTGTTCTATAAAATATAAATTATGCGTATGCATCTACGTACAAATCAGCATCTACTATTTCCGTGGCGCAACACAACGACCAATAGGTATGATGATGCATATACTAATTACAGGGTTGTAGCGGTACTATTTTACCGGTTATTATTGTGTAATGCTATAGCGATTAACTGACGCAGTCACTACCAGGCACTGTAAAAAAAATCAGATTAAGTTCACGTCAGAGTCCCGCCGTGAAATGTTAAGCGAAGTTTTTTTTTCTACAAGTGGGCGAATGATCACTAGGTGCCGCCTCAACATACTAACAGCGCAAATTATGGCTATGTCGTAGCAGCAGACGCCAATCAACTAACTCTTTGAAATAAACAAACCCAAGCACTCACCTTGTGATAAAATGAGGAAGACCAGTAGATTGATGACAACGCTATTGGAAGCCCACTGAAACATGTTTCATAAAGCCGAAAGCGTCCTAGAGGCACTGTCGACGGCGTCACGCGGGTTCTAAGAAAGAAACGGCAAAAATTATTCAAAAGTAAGAGAATTCGATTACTGTGAAGAAGTTTCATACAATGCTTACAAGCTTAGATTTACGTGCACGTTGAAAAACCCAGGTGCTCAAAATTTCTGGAGCCGTCCACTACGGCGTCTCTCGTAATCATGTGGTAGTGATCGGACGTTAAACTCAAACGAAACGCTTACACGGTCTGTACGACAAAATGCGCGCTGTTCTTCTGCGCATGCATTTCAGACAAGTGCCGCCCTGATAACACTTTTTTCAACCACAAGCTGTACGCCACACACTTCCAGGCCACATCGCCAAGTGCTGCAAATGTTGACTATGCGATAAGTGCACCGACCCGAACGTGTACGTGTATTTTAATGACGAACAAACTTGTAGCTTTCAAAGACAGAAAGTGAATTGAGGATCGTGTGCTTCCGAAAAAAAGGTGCCAAAATAGGCTTTATTTTAGAGCCTGTGACTGTTAATAAATACTTTGCACGTGCGATCAGAGCTATAAGGGTTCCTATACGAGCAACCATCTTAACGCATATTACTCTATCGCCCAGCGTACAGCAGCTGCTGGGCAGCTGTTCGAGACACATGCCAATGTAAACGTGTATTATGTGTGATCAGCACAGCTGCTGCATAATGTTACGGAATTATGAATATAATAGTGGTTCGTTTATTTATCTCTTTTCCTGTTGCTCGCATATCACAGCCCGGTTTATGCAGCCTACAACTTATACTATCGAAAAGCTTTACTATTTGTTTGTTCTTGGTTTCAAGAAGGTTGCTGTCATCTCCAGTAGTAGGTAGGAATCAAATCTAGATACAAAGGGAGCAAGCAGTTTGGGAGAAAGAAGTTTTGAAGATACATTTAGGTATTGTTGCCCCTGACTTCTTTGTATATTTTTGAACCAGTGCTGATCTCTTGTTTCTTTGCTTTCGTTTCTTCAATGGGAACCTGTATCATTTTTCAATGAAAACCTGGGACACTGTGAAGTGGAGTTTTTCAAAATAAATTGCCGCGAACGTAATAACAGACAGCGACGAAACGACGTCTTGCTTGCCCTCAGACCAGGACGCAAAAGCCCTCTTCTTTCTTCACTTTCAAGGGATTCCCCTACAGTTGATGCCTCATACCCATTACCTGTGACATTACTCCCTCTCCTCGAAAAGCATCGCCTCGATGCTGGTAATGAGCGTTGAGAAAAAAATGAGAAAGAAAAGTTGCTACCATGGAACCCAACAACTCCGTCGTAAGGGGAAAAAATGGGCTGGTGTCATAGAAGTACTCAATAAAGAAAGGAGTAAATACACAAGACAATAAAAAAAACCAAAGTGACAAAAAAATAGTCATTGCATGGTAAGTTAGTCCGCGTTCGATGGATGACGCGAGAAATATGGCTTGAGTCTTGACACGTGCACCACATCACTTTCTGGAAACCGACGGGAACGTCTTGAGACGCCCTCAGGGAGAACTTCATACGTAACGTCACTGAGTCGGCGCAGAACTTTGTAAGGGCCGAAGTAGCGCCGAAGCAACTTCTCAGAGTGACGACGCTGTCAGATGGAAGTCCACACCCAAACTTCATCGCCTGGTTGGAAGGTAACCTCTCGGTGTGTAAGGTTGTAGCGGTGTGCGTCGGCAGTTTGGCGAGCCTGAATATGGCATCGGGCGAGTTGACGGGTCTCCTCGGCGCGTTGAGCGAACAATGCAGCGTCCGTGTTGAACATGCTCAAGTTGTTGGGAAGGAGCATTGCGTCGAGCATTGTAGTGACCTCTCGACCATGAACTAAGCGAAATGGGGTGAAACCTGTACTCTCTTGGACTGCTGTATTGTAAGCAAAAGTTACGTAAGGGAGTATATCATCCCAGTTCTTGTGACCAACGGCCACATACATTGACAGCATATCTGCAATGGTCTTGTTCAACCATTCAGTGAGTCCATTTGTTTAGGGGTGATAACCCGTGGTTTTCCGATGTTCTATGCCACTTAGTCTCAGCACTTCTTGAAGCATCTCTGCGGTGAAAGCTGTACCACGATCAGTAATTATCACAGCTGGCGCTCCGTGACGAAGTACGATGCTGGTGACAAAAAACTGTGCGATTTCGGCTGCGGTAGTTTTGGGCAGGGCCTTTGTTTCGCTGTAACGCGTTAAATAATCGGTGGCAACCACAATTCACCGGTTTCCAGACGAAGAGGTGGGAAATGAGCCGGGCAAGTCAATGCCAATTTGATGGAATGGTGTCTTCGGCGTGGCGATAGGCTGTATTAGTCCTGCTGGTCGGACAGGTGGAGTATTAACGGCGTTGGCAGTCGCGGCATGTGCGGACGTACTGCTTGACTGTCTTCGCGAGGCGGGGTCAGTAGTATGAGCGGCGAATTCTTTCCAATGTGCGCGTGTAGCCAAGGTGTCCGGATGATGGTTCGTCGTGACAAGCATATAAAATATCGTCTCGAAGCGAGGTCGGTGCAACCAGTAGGTAAGTAGCCTGGGTATGGTCGAAATTTTTCTTATAGAGGACTCCATCCCTGATGCAGAACGAGGCCAGCGAACGTGCGAAGTTTTGAGGAAGGCTGCGTTTTCGGCCTTCGAGGTAGTCAATCAGCGGGCTTAGCTCCATGTCGTCGCGTTGTTGTTGAGCCAGGTCGGTTGCTGACACAGAGGAAAGGAATGTATCGTCCTCTTCAACGTCCGCGTTCGTACTTCCAATTGGTGCACGTGAGAGACAGTCAGCATCAGTGTGTTTGCGTCCTGACTTGTGAATGACTGTAACGACAAATTCTTGCAGCCGAAGGCTCCAGCGTGCTAGACGACCGGAAGGGTCTTTGAGGTTGGCGAGCCAGCATAAAGAATGGTGGTCGCTAACTACCCTGAATGGTCGACCGTATAAATAAGGGCGAAACTTTTTTATAGCCCAAACAACGGCTAAGCATTCTTTTTCTGTTGCAGAGTAGTTTTTCTCTGCAGCTGATAGTGTTCGACTTGCATAGGCAATCACGCGCTCTAAGCCATTTCTATTGAACCAGTACAGCTCCAAGTCCAACGTTGCTGGCATCCGTGTGTAGCTCTGTGGCAGCGTTATCGTCAAAGTGACCGAGTACAGGTGGGGCTTGGAGATGGTTTCGTAGCGTGTCAAAGGCGTGATTCTGATCATGACCCCAAACAAACGGTACGCCGTCTTTCGTAAGTTCATTTAGCGGTTCAGCGATTTTAGAAAAGCCTTTGACGAAGCGTCTGTAATATGCACAGAGTCCCAAAAATCGGCGGAGGTCGCGCTTGTTCGTTGGGACAGGAAATGCGGCAACAGCTTTCGTTTTCTCCGGGTCTGCGTGTATACCGGCGTGGCTGACGACGTGAACAAGAAATTTCAGTTCCTCGAATGCAAAGTAGCATTTCTCAGGTTTGAGAGAAAGTCCAGCTGATCGAATCGCCTGAAGAACTGCCTGTAAGCGCTGGACGTGCTGCTCAAACGTGTCCGAGAAGACGACCACATCGTCAAAGTAGACAAGACACGATTTCCATTTTAGCCCAGAAAGAACCGTGTCCATCATTCTTTGAAAAGTGGCTGGTGCCGAGCATAAGCCGAAGGGAAGGACCTTGAACTCGTAGAGTCCGTCAGGAGTAATGAAGGCGGTCTTTTCGCGGTCGCGCTCATCAACAGATATTTGTCAATAGCCGCTGCGTAGATCCATGGAAGAAAAGTAACGAGCATTGCGAATGCGGTCCAGAGAGTCGTCTATTCGTGGTAGAGGATACACGTCTTTCTTCGTGATCTTATTCAACTTTCGGTAGTCGACACAAAATCGCAGATTACCATCTTTTTTCTTTACTAACACAACAGGGGACGCCCAGGGACTGGTCGATGGCTGGATGACATCGTCCTTGAGCATCTGCTGGACCTGTTGGCGTATAACGTCTTGTTCTTTTTGCGAGACTCTGTAGGCATGCTGTCGAATGGGTCTCTCGGTAGGCTCGGTGATGATACGATGCTTGGCAAGCGGTGTCTGGTTAAATTTCGAAGTCGTAGCGAAGCAGTCCCGAAATGAGCCGAGTAGCTTCAAAAGACGTTCCCGTTGTGCAGACGGTAGACCCTGGTTTACGTCGAGAGTGCTTGCAAATGTCATGGCGGAATCATCGCATGACGAAAGAGCAGATAATGTTGAGGGACCAGGGACGTCGGCAATATCCTCAAGGTATGCGATCGCAGTGTGTTTGGTAAGATGGCGATACTCCTCGCTGAAATTCGTGACTAATAGGCAAGCCTGCTTTCTACTGGGCTGTACAATGCCTCGGGCAACGGACATTTGTTGTGCAAAAAGTAGGGACAAATTTCCTTCTGCAATTACAGCATCGGGGACGTCTTGGTCACATTCAACGTTGATAAAAAGGCTGCTGCGGGGAGGCAGAGTAACAGATTCGGAGGATACACGTAGGGCAGCCTTCGATGAGCGAGCGTTTTCCGGTTCAGGATGAAACGGGTCCTCGAACGACACCTGCAAGTCTCGTAGGTCAATAATTGCGCCGTGTTCGCTAAGAAAGTCCAGCCCCAGAATGAGTGGACGGGAGCACACAGGTAATACGAGGAAAGACCCTGTGAACGTCGAAGCACGGACTCGAACACGGGCTGTGCACATTCCAGTTGGCGTGACGAGATGGCCCCCTGCCGTGCGCAACGGCGGTCCTTGCCAAGGGGTAGTTACCTTCCTCAGTTGGGATGCTAGGGCGCTGCTCATAACCGAATAATCGGCGCCGGTGTCGACGAGGGCAGTGATGACGTGATTATTGACGTGTACGGTGATGTCGGCGGAAACAGTCTTATGACTTTCAGAAACGACTGGAAAGTCAGAACGGTCTTCGTCGGGTCTTTGCGTCGAAGGAGGCTCTTTGACAGTTCGTTGGGACGCGGCTTCACCCCCAGGAGCCGCGGTTTCTAGTTTCCCCTGTGGGGACTCGGTGACCGGCCTCTGAAAGGAGCATAAGATAACGAGGG